AATTCTTATCTAATTTCCTAAAACAATCATGTAAATTACTTTTATTTTATAAGTTTTAAGTTTAAGTGCCTTAAGAAAGATCATATCATTTCATATTTGTTATTATTGGCTTACAAATGCTAACACTTTGTTTGGATCATTGTTACCCATTGTTTCATAATTTATTATATTGTATTGTACTGTATTGTAAGGTAGATATAATGTTTGGCAAGATTGTATTGTTTGTTGTTGTTTAGTAACATTTTAATTGTTTGGTTTGATTGTATCGTACTGAATTGTAATTTATAAATTTACTTAAATATCCTTAATTATTCCAGGGTAGGAGGTTTGACTAGATTTAAATAATTAAGGTAAAGGGTAAATTATTATTTTGAAATATTATGTAAAGATATAATTGAAAAAAGAAATTGAGTAACAATGGGAACACACCAAATTGGTTGTTCCATAAAATAGGGGTTTCCATTGTTATGTAACAACGAAATTTAACAATACAGTACAATACATTTTAAATAACAATCAAAACAAACATTGTAGGTATAGTAACAATACAATGGATAACAATGATCCAAACATAGTGTAAGTATACATGATATCTAATGGTCAAATTTCTTGAAAAATAACTTTCATTTTATAAGTTTTAACTGTTTACGAATTTATTTTCACCATTCTCACCATTCCAAATTATATGATATGTATACGCAATGTATTGTTGTATATCGTATGTATCACACATAAATCTTGGGGTTTGACGTTATTAATATAATCAATTCCTTAAGTCTGTTTTGTTTATTTCAAAATATATGTAATTTTTTCACTTTTCATCAATATAATTTATTTATTTATTGTCATAGCGTTCACAATTGTAAAGGATGAGGACATATCATATATAGTTTATATTTGAGAGTCCCAATTCACAATTGTAAAAATTTGTATCACAATAGGTGGTGTATATTTGTATAACACCAATTTAAATAATAAAGGATTGCGTTTCAGTAGATATTTCATATTTGTATAGTCAATTCTCAATTGTGAAGGATTATATCTTTTCACATTTTTTACTATTAAATGCTAAATATACTTGATATGTAATAATCAAATTCTTTGAAAAAATAATTTTTATTTCATAAGTTTTAAAAGTCTTTTTTAAGTTATAAATTTAGTTTCACCCTTTTGAAAGTTGAATTCATATGAATTACATATATTAAAGATATTGCTGGACTTTATTATATGATAACCATAACTTTAAGGTCAAAAATAAAGATTTCAAAAGGAATAAGCATATAAACTTGGGTGTACAAAAGGAGAATCGATCGATAAATCGAATCGAAAAAATTATTATTAGGTTGTTGGGTAAATTAATAACTTACCCAATAATCCAATAAGACAAATAATAATTTATTATTTTAACCACCTTAATTATTAAATATCAATAATTTAATATATAATTAGACCTATAATTATATTGAATTATTAGTACTCTACCAATTTTACACTAAACCGTTTAATATTTACTCAAAATCTAAAGATTAAAGTAAGGGATTTATAGTTAAGTTGAAACATTTTTAGTGGAGCTAGCCATCAAATTTCAATTGAAATGGTAGTAAAATGTATTTTTCAAAAAAAAAAAAACTTTTAATGTGAAATGCAATAGTTGATATACATATTATACATTTTTTAATTGAAAAAATTTAATTTATGCGAAAATCTTTTTATTTTCTTGATTAAACATCCATTTAAACTTAATTAAGATGTATAAGTGAAATTTTATATCAATTTCAAATATTTAAATATTCATATGTGAACTATTAAGCCTTAAAAAGATATTGAACCGTAACCAACATAAAAACCTTTTGTCATTATGTCACCAATCCGAACTATTCCAAAAACTCGTAAGGAAAAAGTACATGAATTAGTAAATTTAAATAAATAATTACTGATTTTAGTAATATTTTTTATTTATTATTATTCATAGCAATACTATGTTAAATTTGCAATATGTATTAAAAATAAATTATGTATACAATATATATGAATTATAATTATTTTTCAAAATATAATATATTTGTTTGGTAAATATTTGACTCATTGTATTATAAGTGTATTAAAATGTGTGATAAATGAATTATCTTTCATTAAATTTTGAATTATATGTGAATAAAAAATTATTCTTTGTAATATGAATTAAACTCTTATTATAAATAAATTAAAAATGATCAAGTAAAAAAAATATTATTGCTATCAATGATAAATATTTTTTTATTATAATATATTTACGTAAGTTTACCATAACCTCCACGTTGTTTTTTTTGCCATGCAGAAGTAGTCAAATTCGATCAAAATTAGTTATATAAACAAAAAAAACAAAATTAAAACTCAAATTTCTCAGCGGTTACCTCTATATTCGTGCAAATCTATCATTTTTCTCCCACCTAAAAATACAGCTCAATTTTATTACTCTTTTATTTAAAATTACACTGAACATTAAATTTTTAGAAAAAAAGTCAATTTTTTAATTTATGCCTTATTAAAGATTTAAATAAATATTAAGATAATACTCCCTCCATATGTTTTTACTTTGACAAATTTTGTTACACACACATATTAAGAAAATTATGATTGGTGCAGTGAATTTATTGTTTTAAACTATTATTCAAATATACTTACTCATTGTATTTTTCAAATACACTAACTTAACATTAATAAATTGATGATGAAATAGGATGAAAAAAATTGTCCTTTCTTGATTTGTCAAAAATAGACAAATAAAAAAAACATTTGACAAGTAATATAGGGACGAAAAAACATTATTTATTATATCATTTTGTTTTCTCCTATTTTATCTTCATTCTGACTTGACTCACACATTAAGAATTTATTGCTGTGTTGAATTTACCATTTTAAACTATTATTCAAATATATTTACTCACTATATTTTTCCTCAACACTAACTCAATGTTAATAAATTAATGATGTAATAGAAAGAACTTTTTTATTATTATTTCTTGGTTTGTCAGAAATGACCAAAAAAGGAAAAAATTTAAAAATATTTGACAAGTAAATAGAGTCAACATTATTTATATACATCATTTAGTTTTCTTCCTATTTTATCATATTTTGACTTGACTTACATATTAAGAAAATAATGATTAGCATAGTGAATTTATCATTTTAAATTATTATCTAAATATACTAACTCATTATGTTTTACAAAGACACTAATTCAATGTTAATAAATTGATGATAAAATAATAAAAAAAAGAATCAACCTTTTTTTATTGGTCAAAAAAACGATAAATAAAAAAGAAAATAAAATTAAAAAATATTTGACAAGTAAATAGGGAAAAAAACATTATCTATTACATCATTTTGTTTTCTTCCTATTTTATCATCATTTTGATTTGACTCACATCTTAAGAAAATATGATTGCCTTGTTGACTTTACCATTTTAAACTATTATTCAAATATATTTACTTACTATAATTTTTTAAGATACTAACTCAATGTTAATAAAATAAAAAAAATTATACCTTTTTTGATTTGTCAAAAAATAACAAAT